TTGGCTGTTCTATTGGTTAAAAAAACTAAATTGCTAGATGGCATGTGAATGAACTTACCTTCCCATAGAATTAACATTGTACATTTGCCACTCTGCCACACCTGAACCATTGTACCTTTCTCAGTCCCTCTTCAAAGACATCATTTACAGGACCTTCATGCTATCAATAAGAATCAGCAGTAATCTGGCATTTTCACTCAATCTTGATTTCTGTTGTGTACTGATAGGTATACTGTAGAGTAACATGCACAATAACAGAAATCTAATTTATTTTAAACATGGACCCTTTTCACTTTGATAAAAAGCTTTGAAATCTGACAATTTTTACTAGTCATAAATAAAACAAAAATAATTAACATACAAGAAAAATCCTGCAGCAAGTTGCTTAACTTTCCCTAGTATTTGGTGGCACCATCTGTTATGATATTTTAGTAAAAAAACTTTTTATATTTTCATAATCAATATACATACATTAATATATAACATTATATTATAAAATAGCACAAACTACTTAATTTTGAAGGTAGGGATATGTTTTGTAAAATGTTGTAAATGCTAATAACAAATAAAATTGTCATGACGATCAGTCATTTTTTGGCTAGTTGCCATACTTTCTCTCTGTTATATATAACAGCCAGGAAAGTAAAAAAAAAAAAAAAAACACAGGTTGATGATGGATATGTAATTCAAAGCTGATAATTAATGTAAAGGATTAGGTTTTGCATAAGCTTATGTCAGTGGGAGCTCATCTATTGAAAGAATCAAATGCATTCAATTTTTTGCAAATGCTAAATGAGCATACAAGTACATGAATATTGCTAACCCCCTGGATAATAGTTTCTCCAACAGAAATGAGCACTTTAATTAAGGAATACAAAGAATTGAATACACAGGAAAGAACCAAATACAGCAAATCCTCACTTAACATCATTGATAGGTTCTTGGAAACTATGATATTAAGAGAAAATGCATACTGTATTTTACCAATTTTAACATAGGCAGAATTATATAAATCAAATATAATTTGTTTAACATTATTCTAATTAGATCACATTGGCAACCTTCATACTTCCCCTTGATAGAATTAATTTTACTGTTTATAAAGAAAATTCATCAACAGTAATTATAAATGATTATAAATGTACTTGTATCTTTCTTCAACATTATAATGAATGATGTTAAGTGAGGACTTACTGTACAGGTAGACCATCATTAATCTGGCAATTAGTAATCTGATTCCATCATTGATATGGCACTAATTTTGGCTAACCTAATTTCAAATTTCCTGTGTCACTGCATCAACCCATTGCTACTGTTTAGGGGTGCTTAACATTATCAGATGTATGATAATTTTACAAGAATTTTCATTTAATGCTTGTTTTTTTATTTATTAACTGATTTGTACTGATATATAGGTTATTTTAATTAAAGGTGGAATGAGACAGTTAAATGTTGAGTTAACTATATTCTACTGTAAGCATCAGTATTCCAGTGGTCACTTATCCAGCACCTTACAGGTTCCAATGATGCCAGACTAGTGATGATCAACCTGTACATTATTCAATTTTTTCATCATTAGACTCAATGGATTTTACTTTCCACAAATGTAAGCCATGCAGAGTCCTTGCATAGGGTCTCTTTTCCTACCAAATACGCCTATTAATAATTTTTGAAACCTTGTTTAAATAAATTTTTCATACATATTTTAAACAATTAAAGCTCAAAAACTAATTTTATTGCAGATTTCAAATTTTATTGAAACTCTGAGATTCTCTGAGAACATAAGTTAAGGAACTGTTGATATAAAGCATGAAAATGCTTAAGTTTTCTAAAATGTTTTCACTTGTGAAAAGCACAATAATTCGTAGTGGGACTGTTGTGTGGATGTGTGATTACCACGAGATTAGAGAAAAGGAAAGCTACTTAAAATTAAGTTTATGTACAATATATATACAGTATATATACATGTATATTTACACAAATACAAAAATTACAGGTTGCACTAGGACACATATAAAAACACTTATGTTCCCAACAAACTTGTCGGTACTCAGAGCTGGATATGATACAAGTCCTTGCTATAAAAATGCACGTATATCTATCACAAAAATACTCCTCAGACAATGTCAACTATTTGTAGTTCACTAATTCTAACTCGAAGTTCTAAATGTCCAGTCAGTACTTTTGTAGATGCGAACAGATTTTTACCTTCCATCCAATAATACAAAACCTGCACACACTTCTAGCCGCACCAGATGGTTTTTTGGGGCATCCTAACTCAAAGAAAATAAGCCTTCCATATCTTCAACAGAGCAGATCCTCACCAGGCAGGCAAAAGGTGATGTTGCCAATCCACATTTCCTTAAGTACCCCTTCCCAATTACTAACATGCTGCCAACCCCCTACACAACCAAAAATAAATAAATAAATTATGTATAGCCCAAAAACCTGCAGCGGCACACATTCCAAGAAAAACAGTTTAAATTATATTTCTATAACTTTAAAGTTACACAGTACAATACATAAATTGTACTCTATATAATAATCACTCTATATAATAATTTTATTTATATTTTAAATTTCAAAACATAATATATATATAATAATAATTATATATTAATGTTCTAAATATACACTACACCCTCAGTGCTTATGGATGTCAGTGTTCCGAAATTAGATCAGTTGTTATCAAAAATTTATTCATCAAAATTTCAACTTTTATGAAAGGTTTGACTTTTCAGGAAATGGGAGATTATGGAGTTGGTGCTTACACAAACTGGATGTTTGAGCAGGCACAATGCTAAAAGATTGCTGCACTCTTATTCATATGGTATCTGTCATACAGCAAGTTATGTTATTGTGGTTTTTTTTTCTTAATAAAATGAATTTTGCAAATTATGAAAGATGTATAGTTCATCATTAAATGCTAGCTTTCATTTAGTAAAGTTTTAATAATTCAAAATATTCAAATATTTTGTAGTAGATACATACAGTATAAAATATTAATTCATATATTTTTAATTGGAAAAATATATGAATTAATAGTTCAAATTGAAAAATATCTTCATTCAGTTAGCAACAAATAAAAGAAGCAGTTATCACAAGTGAGGGATCCTGTAAAAAAGAATATATTTTTAATATAAGAAAATTAATAATTTTTAATAATATAAATTAAAAGTAATAATAATTGATTCATTTTAGTGGGTGTGTAGTTAGCTGTCCAAACAGTAGGCCAAAAAAATGTTCCTAATAAATTTTATCTTTGGCTTCTTTAATAACAAATAGTTTTGAGTTTCCTTTTATTCTTCTTAACAATTATGTAAAATTTCAAAGTTTATAAAAGATCAATAATACTTAGATATTTATGAAAGATTATATTACAAACATATACTTTATTACTAAGAACATTTTTGAACATATAGAAAACAAAAGTAATGTCAACAGGACCACTTCACAGTTTTGTGAAATAATTGAAGTTGTGGACAGGATGGTATTATTTGGAGTCATAATCACCAGAGATGGTAGTGCACAGAGGAGCTTAAGAGAAGAATCTTGCTAACAAAAAAAAGCCATGTCATACCTTCAACCTACCATAAAGGACAAGGATGTGACAATTAAGACTAAGATTAGACTAGTAAGATCTCTTGTCTTCTCTATTGTCATGTATGGATACAAAAGCTACACTCTCAGAAAGTTTGAGCAGAAGAAATTGGATTCCTTTAAGGTATGGGATTGGAGAATACTCCTAAGGATACCATGGACAGCAAAGTAAATAAATATCTCAATCCTAGAAACCATCAAGTCTGAGATGTCTCTTAAGGCCATACTTCTTAAGCAGAGACTGACTTTTTTTGGCCATGTGATGCAGGCTCATGATGGACTAGAAAGAAAAATCATGCTTGAGAAGAAGCCACAGGAGAGGTTGACAAGGAATCAGATGGATAGACCAGACAAAGCAGGTCACTGGTATATTCTTGCATGAACTGACAAACCTTATAAAGAATAGAATACTTTGGAGGCACCTTATCCATCAGGTCACCAGGAGTCAGTGTCAACTCAATGCCACATAACAACATACACAGTATATTCATATACATTTGCAGAATATCTACAAAGTTACAGATCATAAGAGACATTCTGAAAGAGCATATGTGCATGAATCTCTATTCATGCACATATGCTTATGATAGTCAACTATAAATTTTTATATTTGAAGTTATTTTAGTGCAATAAACTATATGATCTTCTTTCTTATTGTTTCATTTGCTTTAAACAGATAGTAATATCATAATTTTAAGTAATCAATGTTAAAACTTTCACACAGAAAGAATACTATAGTTTACAAACTATGATTTGTACCATACCATAGAATATGTAAAAACAACAATCATCTTACTCTTAAAACAGTCAGTTATGCATGAATAATTTCCAGTGAACAAGTATTAACTTATTAATTACATTTAATTAAATTGCCTCAATGTCCTTTTTTTCCTTATTAATATGTAAATTTTCTACTATAAATTTGACTATCTTCTATTATCAGGACTTATAATCTTTGTAATATTATCTGTAAAACCAGTATAATAAGTCTGATAATAGAAGATAGTCGAATTTATAGTCGAAAATTTACATATTAATTATTAATTACATGTTTAGCATAATTGTTCAACCATCTTCAATATGTTACATTCTACCATAATAGCATGTAAAGTATCTTAAAGTTAAGTTTGTCAATGCATCTAAATAACTGACTTTCAATAGCTATACAAGGAAGCCATAAAGTCTGAAAACAATAAATGAATATACATAAATTATTTATTGATATTGCGTTACAAGACATGATATGTTCAATGCACTGTGCAAAATTGGAATGAATGACAGAGAAATAAAATATTGTCATATATGTTTCCAAATTTTATGGTCATTCTGTATAAATATTAGCTTTTATTCTAAAATCATATTTTCAAATTTAAAAAATATTTCTTTATTTCTATTTCTAGGAATATAGGCATTCCTACAAAGCACAATATCTTGTATATGATTTGACAGATGGGTAACTATAAAATACATTATAGATAATAAATATTTTAATTATGTAGTTATATAAATATAGATAATAAATATCTTTATTTATTTATTAATGCATTTAGGCATGTTTTTCCACTTCTATCCAAAACACCTGCCATAGAACTTCAATATGCATCTTGGGGACCTAGTGGTAGTCAATTAGTAAGTCATATATTTGATATTCTATGACTTATTTACTTATAAAATATAGATTTTATCAAGAAAAAAATAAGTTATTGGATTTTTTTATTTATAAAGTATTGAATTATTTTTCCAGATATATGTATATAATAATGATATTTACTATATACCACAAATAACATTGGAACCAAGCCCTTGGCAACTCACAAATACAGGAAAAGATGGTGAAATCTTTAATGGAATACCTGATTGGGTTTATGAAGGTAATAATAAATATTAAAAGTATATTTTTAGGGATTTAATAATATATTTTGTGTTTTTATAAATTATTCAAATAGAAAATATTTTATTATTTTCTTTTAGAGGAAATTTTATCAAGTAACAATGCTATTTGGTGGTCAGACAGTGGGAACAAAATTTGTTTTGCTTTATTTAATGATACAAATGTAGATATCATGACATATCAAATGTATGGTTCATATAAAGATTTCAATAATGTTTATCCTACTCCTATAAACTTGAGATATCCAAAGGTAATTTAGTTTAATTATAATTAAATATAATCAACAAATTTTGTGGATAAATTACTAGTATATTTTTTTTTTTATTCTAGCCAGGAAAAACAAATCCAACAGTTACTTTATTTGTCATTGATCTTTCTACAACGAATCCACCTTTACAGAAAATTACTCCTCCTGAAGATTATGTAGATTCGTAAGTTTGTTTACATTTATAATATATATAATATATTAATATATAATATGTAATATATAATATAATATAATATAATATATATAGTGTGTGTGTGTGAACACCTCCATTTAGCATTATTGTTTCTTTAGCAGTGACATTAAAGACAAATACTGTAGATATAAAAACAAAATATCAGTTGCAATTTTATTATACAGTGCTATATTTCATAATAAATTGCTTATTAAAAATTTGTGTAATTTATATTTTTCAATAAAAATTATAAATACTGTACAGTAATTGAAAATTTAAAAAATAAATATTGAACTTAGAGCATCAAAACATAAAATTAGAGTAAAAATTCTCTAAAAACCAAAATAAAGTTACTACTGTATAAAAATTTTAGAATTTTTCATTCAAAAGTAAAGAAATCTTTTCCTTATACATTATGCAGTGAATTTGAAATTTCACATCTTTATGTGAATTGACAGTACTTAAAACCAATAAATAAACAACTTTTAATTAATATCAAAAGGAAATATAAATGATAATTGATCTGTCCACCTGTTTTGCTTATTTAGATCTTGATGAATTTATTGTTTCACCTGCAGTGATAGTTTCATGGACAATGATAGGAATAAAATACCATACATATTTTGTTGCAAAAAGTAATTCAATGGTAATTGATGATTTAAAATGTATTGACTCAAGTGTTTTTAAAATTTGGGGGACCAAAAAAGCACGATATGTCTGAATCAGTGATATAATGATGTGCTACTGTACAGTGCCAACTCGAGGCAAGTTTTAGGATGGAGCAAGATCCTATTATGGCACCCCCATTGGTTGCCCCTAATTTATACCCTTTAATTTTCTTTACCGCTGAGGCTGCTCCATTCGCCCTATGGTAGGACCGGCTCTGCTACTGTATTAGCAACAGTACAGTTAGATTCTATAAGCTAGTGGCATAGTGTCATTTTTCATGAGGGTGAAAATAGAGGACAAAGAAATAGAAACAGGGAAATTCTCTCATTCATACAACAGAAGAAAGTTGAATGGATCTAGGAGTGGATATTCTCCAAAAAATGAGAGTCCAGCATTAGATAAAGAATGTGTGGAAATCAATTTACAAAGTCTAGCTTAGTTTGGTTAATGTTTTTTTTTCCCATCTTATTTTTATTGTTAACAAAGTATGTATATATATATATATATATGTATTGTTATTAGCCTTTGCATTTTGTCTTTTATATTTAAATTTTGTTTTATGTTGTTTATTTTATTTTTATTCTCCATCATTTATATTTTTATTTGTAAATTTAAACTGTACTTGTTTTATTTCATTTAAAGTTTGTATGTTTAATTACTGTTGTATGTTCTAAAACTAAGGATGATTCATAAACTGGACTGAAAATGTTTTTGTGCATTAAATAGTATTTGATGGAGATATTTAAGGTGTAGATTTTTTAAAACATGTTAAAAATAATGAAATATCAAAATATGAATAATTAAAATGAAACTAAATTTGCAACAAAGCATAAAAATATTTTTGAATTCAAGACTCTGTGAAAACCTTTACCAAGAAAACAATTTTAAATAATTTTATTCTTTTATTTTGAATTTTCTTTGCCATCAGCCTTTTCATTTGCTTTCTGTCTACTTCTTCCAACCCTGAAATCAAGATTTTCAGTAATAGGATTTCTACCTCCCTAATAATCACTATATCTTGGTCCATTTTCTTCCTTTTTAAATGGACTACTAGTTAACATTACCTTAACTCCTCATCTGGAACAATTATTCGTTCTGCCATCATATAGAAATCTTCAGTATCTTATTTCTTTCTGATCTCAGAAGTCCTTTAACTTTCCAAGAACATTAATGAGAAATTAATTGATTATTTATTCGTTTATCATTTAAATAATATACATATTTTGAAATTATTTCCCGAACATAACATATAAATTTTAAACGCAATGTATTCTAATTACATACTGTAATCAGTTGGAACATCTGAAAAAAAGCATTTGATTTTTGTTAGCTGTTTTGTTCTATATTGTTTTTACCTGATGATGTCTATTTTTATATAGACAAAAACATTAGTAAATTTTTTTCACAGTGCTGGTTTTGGTTTTGTGTTGTGTGTCCTTTAATCTGCTCTTCTTAATCTTTTTAATTCCTCATTAATCTTTTCTACCAACTGAAGAAAATCCAAAAAATAAAAAAAAAAAGGAAATTTTTTCAACATCAACAAATTTATTTAACGTATTAGGCATTCGCCTGTTACAGGGACGTGCTATTTTAACATAAATTATTGTAACTTTACAATCAATAACTTAACATAAAATTTATATCTTAGTATCTAACATATATTTCAGTTTTAGTTCTTGAATAACCATTTATTATTTGAAAAATTTCCTCATATAGTTATAAAGATTAAAGATAGTGTTAACATTTGCTCTGTTCAATATCTTGTACATATCAATTTCATTCGTACAGTTGGCTATCTGCTTAATTTCAGAACTTTGATCATTTTAGTTTTCATTGTCGCATTCACTAAAAATGTGTATTTTTGATAATGGTATACTACAATTTGAGCATTTGGATTGCAAATATTCTTTGTATTTATTTCCTAGCATTATTCCATTTTGATTTAATCTTAATTGTATAAAGAATTTTTTAACATTAAATGCAAGATTTGTTAGCATATAATCATTGATTAATGGATAGTTTAAAATTATTTTATACCGATTACTGTTTTTTCTTTTTTGAATGTCTTCGATATCTTGTACGATGGAATATTCCATTACTCTATGTATTAATAGCTTACTTTGTTGTTCAAAACTGTTAGTCTGATCCAAAAATAATTCCATANTCTTTATTAAAATGTTAAAGTGCTTTTATACTTAATTGAAATTTTTTAAATTTAAATTAATAAAAATAAATTTTCTAAACTATTCTAGATATTACTTTACATCCGTGAACTGGGTTGATGACAATAGATTATCTATAACTTGGTTACGTAGACTTCAGAATTCATCAGTAATTAGTATTTGCTATGAAAATCAGAAATGGAACTGCATAAAAGTGAGTTTTATTTGTAAATTATGTTAATAAATAATTTAATGTGAAATTTTTAACATTTCATAAGCATTACTATAACAAATTCTCATTTACCAAACTTTTTTAATTCTAATTTACATGTACAGTACAGTTCATTCTTATGACTTCAAAAGATGTCAGACTCTGAGTATTATGACATCTTATGACAATCCTATATTTTCCAACAGATGGCCTCAAAATGTCTGAAGGACATCATAATGTTTCACCTATAAACATGCTAAAGATGTTTCAATTATGATGATTTAGAGATTTCTTAAAACCTTTTAAGGCAGAGGCTTAATAAGACACTTTCATTCATTTTCTTCATTTTTGAAAGACATCAGTCAAAGAAAATGTAGAATATTTTGATTCTGTTGGCAATGTTTGTAAAAATACTGTATTATTTCAAAGAAACACTTCTAAAAAATATTTTATTAAAATTTTTACAATCTATTACAACTGGAATTCAAAATACAAAGTTATTAAAGTTAAGTTTGTAATTCAACAAGTTACTCAACTTGTTTTTGAACACTTTGTACTAGTTAGTTGCTAACTACTCTGTACAAGGAAAAACGGCAACATGTGTTAACTTATTCTACAAATTAAATTCATTGCTTGTTCTTGAGAACTTGATTCTTACAAGTGTTCGATTCCAAAATCCTGGTTAATTCCAACACAGATCTTGACCTGTACATGGCTGTCGTGACGGCCCTATCAAACCAAGCTCATGAGATCCATATAAGCTCTTCACATGTTGAGAGCTTATATGGGACCTGGGAGGAGAGTAGACCCCTTTTACTTTTTTACAAATCTCTTGCTATTTTTTCTTTGAATAAATGAAATACATGGAATGTTCCTTTATTAATAAAATGCAGCTGTAAAGATTTTATTTTTTGCTAGTAAACATAACAATAATTTATACAAACAGGAACTATTACAGGCCTCTAAGTTTTCTCCAGGCCCCCAGAAAATTTTCAGCTCCACATCTTGTAGCCCTCAGTCCATATGTCTCCTTATCATATGACCTTCATTTCTCTGACAAGATTTGAAATAATTTTGGAAGTACAGTTTGTCAAATGACCATTATATCTGAAGATTTTACTTACTTGTCTAAAAGTGGCATCTTAATTTTCTCATTTATCTAGGGCTAGGCCATTCTTCATAATGAAAAACCTCCTCTGTTTTCATGTTAGGCAAGTTTCTGACTTATAGTAGAATTTAACATAGAAAGTCATTCCATATCAAGTAATTTTTCCATTTTGGAAGGTTTTCAGTGTATTCAGGTTCCAATTTAGACAGTTATCACTTTATAATATAAATATCTTATAATAAAGTCAGGCTTTCTGCCAAATCATCAGACTATGATTAGGCTAAGTTAATTAAATTACAAATTTAAACCTACCTCTAAACAAATTACTTTATAATTTGTTTAGAGGTAGGCAGTTAAGCTGCTATCTTGGATAATTTTAATAATTATAATAAATTAATTTTAATTTAAGATTTCTGGAGGAAAAGAATTGGCCAGGAATGGGACTCAAACCTGCAACTTCCACTTACCATTTAGATACATTGCCAATTATGCTACCCAGTTCATTTTCAGAACTACTAATTTAGATATTATCATAGATCATGGCTTAAATGGCTACCTCTAGACCAGTGGTTTCCAACCTTTTTTGACTTGCTTACCCCTTGGCAGCCTATTTTCCTAAGTTTCATTTCCCATTTTCACTAAGTTTTATTTGCTTATTAGTCAAACTGTGGTACCTTTGTGAATTACACAGCACTGTACAATTACATATAAAAAAGTATTTTTTAAATCAAAAAGCATTAGAGGAAAGACACAAATAAGTATAATAAAAATATAATTATATTTTTACTTAAAACTAAGCATCAAGTGCTGTGATGTCACCAAAGGCTTCAATGCAAAATCCAAATATTCTGATAGTACACTCATTGCCATAAAAATTAGCACACCAAGAAAGAGTTGTTGTATCACTGTGAAACTTGGCATGCAGAAAAGTCTCAAGCAGATATGGAAATGATTATGATTATGAGATGATATGAGTAATAGAGTAGTGGCTGATTGTGTAATGCCAGCAGAAGGTGTCAAACTGTGTTCCCCTTGACCTATAAAAAAACACATAAAGACAACCTGTCTGTGGTTTACCTGTTGCAAAGGGATTCTGTATCAATTAGAGATGCCTTTATGTTTCAATCAATCAATCAATTAATTATTTTATTGATGCATAAAGATGCATGTCTACTAGCACCACTAGGCATAGCTGGACATGGGTTACAGAAAAATAGATTGCAAATAAACAATTTCACATAAACATATAAACGCGGACAATATATAAACTTTGAAGTGGATACAGTAAGCAATGGGCAATTAGTATATACAATGCAATAGTACTGTACATACAGTACATGGAATTTGCAAAGGAATAAAACGTGACAATATAACCGTAGAATAGGCCAATACAGTTATAGAAGGATTAAGCATATATGAAGTCACAATTAATTGTTGATACTTGAGCAACAAAACATATACAATGGAGAGCATATAATATACAATGAATAAATGGTGAAAACAGAATACTAAGAATAAAGTACACAGTGCTGATAAATACACAAATACAATGTAATAGCATTAGCAGGAAGAGAGACTATACAGTATATATGATCTGAATTACATATTACCTAGAAGTTGAGTTACTAGTGGGGATGTTAGTCCTCCTGTTGTACTTTTTTTTTGTTTTTTATGATCATCATTTCCCCTTACGGGGATCAGTCATCCTTGTCCCGCCAGTGGCACCACAAGGAAAACGTTGCTTTATTGACAATTAAAATATTATAACATACAACTTTTTGCAAACAACAGTTAAGATTAAATAACATTAAAA